GTTAAGAAACTTTGCAGCCCAGGGCCCACAGCCCCAAACTGTTCACACAGAGTTTGAGGCCAACTGGGCCGTAATAGCAAGGTCTGAGAAGGCTTAGATGAGCTGCTTTTAGAGCATTAAACTGTTGGGTTTTGTCCCTTTATTTCTTTGCCCTATTTTCTTTATCTCCCTGCTGCACATATCTAGGATATGTGTCTCCTGGACCTTGGCCTTGTGGGTAGCTGGCAATTCATCTTCATTTTTTTCTCTTAACACACCCAGTGAGAAAAGATGACAAGAGAGAGGTGTAAATATATAAAAAGCTACTGAAGCTGCAGTGGGAATTCATTAGTCCAGACCACGAACGTGTGGAAACAAATTCCCTTTCTCTCTGAATCTTTTCTGTGAGCTACAGTCGAAGCTAAAGAGAGCTGAGCCTTTCCCTTGTGGTGTGCTGCTGAGGGTCCTGTACAAAGGTGAATGTGCTGTAAGGAATGCAGCAAAAGACAAGGGTCTTGCTAGGACTTGGCTCCACTAGGCCAGTGAGGTGCTCTGCTGGAACCAGTGTTTCCATGGCAGGTGGATTTCTTTTTGTAGAAATAAACTTTGCATAGTAAATAGAGCACCACTGGTGAAGTTTGTTGTGGTCTGAGACCAGAAATCATAGGTAGTGAAAGAAATCACAAAAATCACCTCTCCTGCTTTCAAAGAGCAATGGTCCTGTCCTTTCCCTAGGTCTATGATACAACTTCCTTGCTTCCTTCCTACAGAGAAAGACATCTATGGTGGAAATGAAGGTTCTCCGTGTTCTAGACAAGATAGGAGGTTTTGGTCTTACTCTTTATGGGTAAACAAATGCTTTGTTGCTTTCTCAAAGGGCAGAATAACTCTTCCCCACCAAAGAGCTTGGCCAAACAACAGCTGCTGCAGTGTTCCCAGCAAGTACTGGGACTCTTCTGAACTGCCTAAGAATGGCTTGAGGAGCCTTTGCCCTCTTTCCTGTCATGTACTTCTCTGGTTCTAGTACAAGGAACTCTCTGTTCCAGCCCTGACTGACCATATGTCTTCTTGTTTCAGCCGTGTGCCGTCCCCTGCCAGTCACCTTTCACCGCGGTGAGTTGCTGGGGACAGTGGCCCGAGCAGGGACCACCCTGTGCCCCACTGCCAGCGGCAGGTGGGGCTGGGAGGGAGCTCAGCTTAGTGTCCTTGGGTCGTTCTCTGCAGGGGGAAAGCTCTGCAGGCTGTGCAGGAGAGGGAAGGTCCAGGGGGTTAGGCTTGGGGAGTTGTGTTACTGCACTGTGAGAGGGGAGGTGTCTGAGGAGTTGAGGATGGTGGCCCTGGCACTGCTGCAAGGGCCTGAGCTGGCTGGGGGACAGGGCTTGAGCACAATGAACCGAGTGATTTCTGAGCTGTTGTTCTGGTCTCTCAGCCTTCGACATGGTGCACGACCCTCTGGTGGCACTGGAGACGCTGATTTCTCTGGGGTTTGAGCGGGTGTTGACGAGTGGCTGTGACAGCTCAGCACTGGAAGGATTGTCCTTGATTAAGAGGCTTGCAGAACAAGTAAGTGCTCACTGTGTTCTCCTGTGGCTGCTGCCTCTGGGCGTTGCCTGCTACATTTATGGTAGCCCTCATTTCTATAAGGGCACTTCTGTCAGGGAACACTTGCCTTCCCTCCCTTGTCTGGCTTTAATCTGTTTTCCCAATTCCATATGGGCTGGGCCCTGAAGTCTCCCACAGCAAAGACTGGTTGAGTCATTCTTGCTCACAGACAGTGGGGAGGATGGTGGGAGTTGGTTTCAACAGCTGGTGTGATGAGCCCACACAAACAGCAAAGTGAGGTTCCTGCTGGATGTTTCACAGTTTTTATTAGGGAAATGCAACAGGTAGCCAGGTGGGATACAGAGGTAGGAGGGAATGGGGACAGGTTGTTTTAGCTGTAACGGCAAATTCTTTTCCACATTTCCTTGTAAAACATGAACAGAACAAAAAAGATGGGTGAGAGTGAATGAGTTGTAGGCCATGGTGACATCCATGAGTTTGTGGAAAGTGCTGCATGTGAGGTTTCTTTGTCACAGCATAAGTGCACATGTGGATGTAGTGCTGAGCAATATCACTAACATGTTATTCTTCTTTCAGGCAAAGGGCAGAATTGTGGTGGTGCCAGGTAATGTTTTTTTGTCATCTTTTACCAGGTCCTCAGTCCCTAGCCCTTCCTTCCTAGCCTCCTGCTTGGGATCCACTCTCTGATCTGGCTTTCTGAGCCAGGTGCCCAGGAGGAGCAGCTCCTGCCCTGGTATGAGTAAAGGCTACCTAGAGCCCTGCAGCTGCTGCTCACTGCAGGAACTGGGGACAGCTCTAGTTCTGTAGGATAACATGAGTCAAGGCTTCTCCTGTTTCTTTTCATGTGCCTGGGTCTCCATTGTCCCAAGGGCTGTGTTTTCCCTTCAGTGTATATGGTGCTTGTCCCTTATGGGTAGGTCCCAGCGTGATGTCTGGTCTGGGACAGCGTCATCTGCTTGGTGTGTGACATCGGGTTTGTTCCCACCAGGAGGTGGCATCACGGAGCGCAACCTGCAGAGGATTCTGGAAGGCTCCACTGCCTCTGAGTTTCACTGCTCTGCTCGCTCAGCCCGGGACTCAGGGATGAAGTTCAGGTAACTGATTATTTATGATTATATTTTAGCAGAACTGTACAAGGGAAAGGCTAGATGAGTGTGAACATGAGTTTGTAGAACAGGCATAAATTTCAAACAACTTCCTGGGTGCTGTTGCACTCCTGTGCTTGAAATTGTGAGAGGTGCCTGACACAGTATTCTGCAGTGTATGAATCCAACAGTGCTCCTCATCTGGACACAAGCTTCATGCAGAACCAGATCCTTGGAGCATTTCTCCTTCTGCTGCCAGCCTGGGAGTTGTGAGTGCACTTGTGTGGCACTTGGGAAGGCAGGTTCTGGGATGTAGTTGCCTTTTAACATCAGCATGCAGAATTTGGGAAGCCAGTGGGATATGCCTCAGAGGAATGAGCAAGGAATGGGTTATATTTGTCCACAGATCTGCACTGGGTTCCTGCTGATGCTGTTGTTTTTTGCCTTTGGATTATTATTTTTTCTGTTACTGTCCCATCTTCAGTTTGGGTGGCACCAGCAGGTTCTTTGGCCACTGCTGAGATGAGGGGAGATGGGTTTTTTTCTTGTGTTCTGTCTCACCCATCTGTATCACCAGCAGATAGTAACCATTGGTTTTCCTGACAGAAATCCCAACGTTGCCATGGGAGCGTCCTTCTCTGCCCCTGAGTACTCCGTAAAGGTGGCAGATGTGGCCAAAGTGAGGACCCTGAACGCAATTGCAAAGAACATTCTGTAGTGGAAGGCACCGTGCTGGGACAAGGACGCTGAGACTCCAGGGTCTTCCCTGCCACATGGACAGATGGATACTGCTTCCGTCCTCAGGCTGCAGAGGATGTGCACTAGGTGATGAAGCCTGACACCTCTTCCCTTGGCTTCCCCTGAAAGACCAGTCCCTGGCCTGGAAACTGATGTTGGCTGTTTTAAATAAAAGGACTCATTCCCAGATGTTGCAGCAACAAGCTGTTGGGCAGTATTTGGGAGGAAGGGAGCTGAGCACGTAGGGGGACTGAATTGTGTAGCACTGCATGTGATTGTCAAATAAACACTGCAGCTGCCCCTCTCTTGCTGTGGTTTTCTAAAATTTATTTATGTTTTTAGGTAAGACTGTGATCCATGTTGCACAGCCTGAAAAATCAGACCCCTGCTGCACCAGAGGAGAATACAATCATGTCCAGAATGCCAGGAGGGAAGCATGATAGCAACAGCTGGAAAACAAGGCCTGCTGTAGTCAGCCAGTAGGATTAGCAGTGCAGCAGCTGCTGGGTAGAGAGAAGCACATTGATATGTACAGGTGATGAAGACATTAATTTGTAATGGCAGGGAGTTTCTCACTACCTGACTCATGAGGTGAGGGGGCTGTGAGACATCCTGGGCTGTGGGCCCTCAGAGCTTGAGATGAGGGGGGGCATGTGATGAGATTTCTTGGGAGGACCAAGTGCTTTTTCTAAGGGAGTTTTCATGTCCTTTTCTGAATGTGAAGCACAAGCTGTTTGTTCACCAGACAGTGTTTGGGGAATGTGCCATTTGGGTCATTGCTGCCTAGTCATGATTGAAGCCCCAGACTCGTATCAGTCACCCTGCAAAATACCCAACAAAAGATCTGAATGGCATCGGAGTGGTCCGTTAGAAGAGTAGAGACCCAGAGATAAAGCGACTTAAACCTTGCTGCCTCCTCTTCTGTAAAAGCTGAAGAGAATCCCTCTGACAGCAGAGATAGTGGACCTTCTTAGGAAGCAAAAGCAGGATTCAGATTTCTCTGTCCATCTTGGCAATAGCTTGCAGCCTGTGAGGATATACGGCAAAAATGTGGTATTTGACAAGGTGGCAGCACTTTTGTCCCCTTAAACAGAATCAGGTCATTGAAAGCCTATAATCATTGTATTTTCAGCTCAAAGAGTACATCCACCTGTTCACGTGGATCCAACAGGAAGGATCCAAATTTGGAAGAAGAAATTATTAAATTTGTTGTTATAGTCAATGTAGTTCAGAATATCTGATTTAAGAGTTCATGGCTTATGTGAGATTTCATGAGTCATGGTCATGATTAAGATACTAGTAGCTCAATTAAGATGAATATTCTGCTGACACAGAGTTTGGCTCTTTCCTCTGTGTTTAAAGTTCGAAAATAAAAAGGCTTTTGAACTCAAATGGCATTACAGTGTGACAAAGCAGAAAAACAGAGAAATAAATCCTTCAGAGAAGAGATGAGTAGTGAGGGTTGGACTGATTTGTAGATTGCTTGGCAGAAACCTCTGTCCTGGATTGGCATGAAGCAATGCCTATTTTTCGAAAAGTTATACCATGCTAGACAACAGATGGATAAAGGCAGGGGAATACAGGGAAACTGTAATATTGTCAGGCAGAGAGGTGCTACTGCTTTGATTATCTTGGTCCCAGTGAAGATTTTTTGGGTATGTTAGTGAAGGAAGCTTTATGGAAGGAGCTGAAGGACAGTGAGGTGGCTTTGTGTGTTTTTGGCAGAAGCATGTCCCAGGTATGAGGGTAGAGAAAGTGAGGGTGTACTTGCTTTGAACATTAGAGAGAGCTGGCATCCTGTGCTGAGAGAAACACTCCAGCTCTGAAGGAGAGCAAAGATGGGGTGGGGATGGGCTGTGACCTGTACTGAAAGCTGAGACAAGCAGTGGACAGGACATTACAGAGGAAGGTCTCACCAGCAAGTGGTCCCCTTGGCATCAATGCTTCAGGTGGGTTTGAGCAAGGCCACAGGACACCTGTGCCAGTGGGCAGAAAAGAATCATAGCAGCAGTCTGGACGAAGAAGGCCTGAGGAAGTGACTGCTTCATTCATTTATTTTTACCCATTGCATCAGATTGCAGCTCTCATCAGCAGTGTACTGGTTCTGGCCTAGAGGACCTAGCAGTAGGGATAGTTTTATTTACAAAAACGTGGATTTAATCAGAGAAACCAGTAATAATTAACCAAGGAGTTGGACATTGAGCCTTTCTCTGGTATTGATGGTTCCTGAGCAATTACTCATTGGGTCACCCTTGACTTCTGAGTTATCTACTAACTCAGTGAACAATGAGACAACGTGATTCTTGCAGTCACCCTACCTTTCTACTGTTCCTCAAGAGCACAAATGATTAAGCAAATCCAGTTCCAGCCTTAGAGACACCATCCCCATGTGTCCCTATCATACTTCCACCTTTCTAAGCAGCAGGGTGATGATTTAATGGCACTGTCCTCAGGAGTGTTCCTCTGTCTCCAGTGATGGGGTTGCCTTAGAATGAAGATTCGAAGTCTCTTTGGGGTTTTGTGGCCACGCAGCTGCCATAACATGCAGACAACATGGAAATGTGGGAAAGGGAGAAGCAAAAGTAATAGTTCAAAAAGCCTCCTGGCTCTGCAGGCAGGAAGTTGGTAAAAGGAGCCCAGATCCTGGGTACTCAGAAAGACCAGTGCAGCATGTGGTCAGCTCAGCTGCCAGACACTGCAAATTCTCAAGCCTGGGACACTGCTGGTGTCATGGGCCTCCTTGCTGGTTGGCATATGAAAAAAAGGATACTGTCTCCTTTGGCTTCTGTGGGACCAGCTCTTGCTGGACTTTTTGTCACCATTCAGCAGGCTTGTTCTGGCAGGAGAGATCGTTGCAAAAAAGCAGTGTCTTCAGTGGGTCCATATGAGCTTGTCTCTCTTGGTGTGCACTGCTGAAGGCTAGTGGTTTCTGAACAGTGGCTGTGGTGTCCTGCAGTGACTCTGGCTTCCCTGTATCTCCCCTTTGATATCTTTTTTGAGTCTTCCTCTCCTCCCTTCCCCTGATCCCATGCGGTTTCCCAAGCCCTTTTGGTTACAGCTTTGGTTTGTGGTGTTGTGCAATAGCACCAAGTTAATAAATAACTGTGTGTCATCAGGGATTTTGTCCCAACGCTACTTGAGGGCGTGGGGGGACTTTTATCCCAAGCATCCACTCAGGACTCGGGCAGAGCGCGGGGAAGGAGCTGCCGTCTCTTCTCCCCTGAGCCATGTCAGCAGCCCTGGAGGAGTTCTGCGGCTCCGTCTTCTGGGTGAGTGGCAGCATCATCCCTATTGCCTGTTCTCGGGGCAGGACACTCAGTGGATGGGGAGAGCAGTAGATCCCAAGGCTCACAGCTTGTCCTGCCAGTGGAACCCAATGGCCAGCAGTCGGCAGAGGTTCTGATATTTATCCAGGACTGCCACAGCACTGAGAGCTGTGCAATGGCTGCGTGATATTCACAGGACACTGAGGCAATGACAGCTCCCTAAGTGAGCCTTGGCCTGTTTTGGCCCAGCTGGAAACAGTACACCTTGCATAGACCTCTTGGGGAATGATTTGGGTCCAGCTGCTTCAACTGGCTTGGCTCCAGCAAGGGAGCCCGTCCCAGGCTCAGGCAGATAGATGGGGAGAGAGATATTATGTCAAACTTTGGCTGAGTGCTGAAATGCTCAGCCAGCAGGGTGGGTGTCAGGAGGGGTGCAGTGGGGGTGGGCACCTATAGGAGTGCTGCTCTTGTACTGTGAACCAGGTGAGAGTCAATCCATCCCAACTGACTTTGTTTTCTGTCCTTGCTGCCCCCAGAATGATTCTTACCTTGCTCGTCCAGATGCCGACCTGCCTGTGTGCTTCCAGCAGACTGTGCTGGTCTGGGTCCCCCTTGGCTTCTTCTGGATTTTGGCTCCATGGCAGCTCTTGCCCATGTGCAAATCCAAAGCCAAGAAATCATCTGTGACCAAACTCTACATCATCAAGCAGGTAGTGGGGCTGAGGGGGCATGGATGACAAGCTGGGGCAGCCCAGAATGGAGGTGGTTTAAGTGGAAGGCCTCTGTGCTGGAGTCAGGTATGGGATGGAGAGATGAGAAATGTAGGAGAGAAGGAGCAGTGGGATAGGGCACCATCTGGGACAGAAATGTAAACGGGAGTCTAAGATGATGCATATATCTGGGACAGAGGGAACAATAGGGGTGGAATACACTGGGAGGGAGGGCAGAGTATATACTGGGGCCTCTCTTGTGGTCTGTTATCCTCCAAACTTAAAATGATGGCAGTGCTCCTGTGGAACTGTTGCAACTTCACAGTGATGAAAGCTCTCACAGGCCAAGTGTGGGTTGAAAAGGCTGTAACAGTGCATGGAACACAGTGCTTCTATGCCAAACCGTGTTGTCTTCCAGTGGTTCCCAGTTTCCTCAGTGGTCTGGGTCTCCCCTCAAGGCTGCCCCTCTCTCCTCACAGATGCTGGCTGCTTTGCTGGTGGTGACGGCAGTGGCAGAGTTGGCCCTGGCATTTGTAGAGGACACAGAGCAGGACACCGTGCCAGCTGTCAGATACACGAACCCCAGCCTGTACATCGCCACATGGGTAAGGGATCAGCTGGTAAATGTGCTGTGTGTCACCAAAGAGACACAGTGTGAGACCACGGGCCAAGCAGCAGAAAACTTCCCTGCCTGTTCTCAGAGATCAGTGGGAAGCTGTGTCCACGAGGGAAGTGTAGCCTGCAAATTGGACAGGGACTAGCACTCAACATGTGTGAGTGGGGCATAAGGGCAATTCATTGAGCACAGGCGTCTGGTTGTACAGTGTTCCCTGCTTTTAGCCTTAAAACTGGGATAGGTTCTACGCCTGTGTATGTGGCTGAGCTGTCTCTGATAGAAGCCTTGCTAGCAGCAGTAAGGGTTTCACAGGATTGATTGCATATCGTGGACATCAAACCGTGGCTTGCTGCTCTGATGTCTCACAGCTTCCCATGAGTTGCTGCTCACTTTTCTACAGAGAGTCAGGAGAAGTACCACAGGATGGCCAGGCAGAGGAGAAAGCTGAGGACATAGGGGCTATTAGCTTGATGGAATATGTGCATGGAAGTTACAGATATCCTGTGTGAGACATGGCATATTCTAACAGTCTTAACAAAGCCAAAATGCTCAGGAAATGTTACTTTTGCACTTAAAACCAAAAGTAACATCCCCATTTGCTATCCTTTGTATTTTGTCACGTCATTTAATTTCACGTGCAGAGTCCATGTGGCATGATAAGACAAGGGGACTGCCCATAGAGAGGACTCTGCACTGCTGGGACATGACACGGGTTT